GGAGCATGTAGAATCGGGAAGCCGGGGGGGCGGGTAATGACTCCGGGCGGCAAGTCATTACACGCAGCCCGGCTTCCTTAATGGGACTCACGGCATTGGTATTCGGTACTTGATACCGAAAAACTGGTATTGGTGCATCCCTAGTGTAGGGTTAAGGTCGGGGCTCTGAGCAGGACACTCGAGTTCCTCCACACCAAACTGGTCACACCATGTGTTTATGGAGCTGGCTTTGTACATGGGGGACAGTCATGGTGGAACAGAAAAGGACCTTCACCAAACTGTGACCACAACGCTGGAAGAGCGCAACTGTCTACAATGTCTTTGTATGTTGTGGCATTACCCGGACCCTTCACTCAAAAGACCCGAACTTCAACCATTTGGAGGGGGTCCACATACTGTTGGCCATATAGTAGGTGTGACGGTCAGGTATCCCCTAACATTTGGCCATATACTGTATCTCATAAGAAGCTCAATCTGTCAGAGCAACAATGAATCGGGTACAGTTCTCTTACTTGTACTGGGCACCGGAATCCAAGAGGAAAACTTCACTGACACACAATTTTCTGTTGGTCTCAGGGACTGGTCTAAAACAAAATTGAAATGTATTATTATGGAGAGCCGAGATCAGCAAATAATAATAAAAGGTTATTACTCAATGGGCACTAAAGAAATTCATATTCCTGATAAGTAGTGAGAGGTGGGGGAGACCGGGGCCCATGTGACTGGACTGCGGGAGCAACAACAAAAGCCTACATATGACAACAGCCTCTTCCTGTGCTATGGGGACACAAACTAACAATTACATACATTGTATTCCCATGGCCTTGGTGTCGGCAACCAAAGGGGGCGGGGACCTTGATGCCCTGCTCTTTTAATTTGGCCTCATTAAAACCAGTTGGTCACCTGTTAGGGTGCCCTGGCGTGCGTTGAGCACATTCACTGTGATGTGTTGTCATTTAGGCCCGGTTCACACCTGGGCGTTTTGTGGCGCGTTCCTACGCTCTGCAAAACGCTCAAACACCGAAATCCCATTATTTCCTATGGGTATGGTTCACACCTGGGCGTATTACGGGCCGTATGAACGCGCTACAAAACGCCCTACGCCCAAAGAAGTACAGGAGCTTGTTTGGGGCGTTTTTGTTGCGTGTTTCCATGGGGATACAGTGAGGTAGCCCTCGGAAAAGCGCGTTTGTCGCGCATTTTTTACCGCGAATCGCCAAACACGCATATTCGATACGCCTAGGTGTAAACCCAGCCTTAAAGTGACATTAAACCCTGAGATTTTTTAACATGAAACAATACTGTAATGTGCGCCTTACTGTAATCCATGGTTGTTTCCCTTCTCTTTGCTGCTCTTCCTTTTAAATCCGTATCTGTTCTCATGCTCTGCAGAACTTCTGTTTTGCAGCAGACTGCCTTGTCTCTGGAATGGATACACGGTGTCTGTGTGCAGGTTCACAACCTGAGCCAGCACTACAGGGTTTGTTCCGCTTTCTTTCCACTTTCCAAAGCTGCTGCCATTTGTGAGCCTGAGCTTCAAAGCAGCACTTTACTACAATGCACTCACAAGAGTAAGGCAAGCTTTAAATGCGGGAGCCTGCCATGGCTGACCTGCTCCTGAAAATGCCGGCTGCCTGGCCTCCATACTTTCTGGGTTATTGAGCCAGAGCAAGCATGCAGGTAATGAATTCAGAATTCCTGCTACACAGACTTTTTGTGGGTCAGCAATTCAGAAGGCCCAGAAGCCACTTGGCATTGTGTAAGACTAGGAAGGAGAAATGCCAGCTGCAAGCCATTAAAGTTCAAATGCCAGCAACTTTAATGTCCCAGACAAACAAGCAAAGAAGCCCCATCTGACACCTGCTCCGGTGGCGCGTTTTGCCTACAAACCTGGGCTTAATTGTAGAGGACCCTTATGAATTGTAGACCTCTACTATTAAAAGGAGAACTATGAGGCGGCTGCTTTTCACTCACCTCATAGTTCTAGCCGACCTGTGACAATGAGACTGTCACAGGTCAGCTCAGTAGATCGGGTGGTGAGCGAACACATACCGGCGTTCGCTCACTTCTCGATCCTGTCACGGCTCTCTGCCGTGACAGGGGAGGGGCTGGATTCCCCCCTCCCCGCTCCGATTCTCCAGCGCTGACTGGCGGAACGGACGGGGGAGGGGGCGGGTACAGCTGGCTCTGCCTCTAGATAGGCAGAGCCAGCTGTCAGTCACGCAGCTGGGCGGATCCCGGCATAATTGTCGGGATCCGCTTCAGCTGCGGCGTCTCAGTATATAGGGAGCTACAGCACGCGGTATACTAAGCCTAGGGTGACGGGAGGACGCTAGTTTGTGTCCTCCCGTTCCCCTATGGAGAACTATGGGGAAAAGCCTTAACCCCATAGTTCTCCTTTAAAGTCATAAAACCAAAATGTCATATTTGCTTCAACATGTAGTCTGAACAGCTCTCTGTATCTTTAAATGTCCATTTAGTCTCTATAAACCCCTTTAAATAGATGCTGAGAACCACATTCATATACATTTGCTGTGTGCCTGTGTCCGCATTTCATTCTGCCTTCCTAATATCTCCTATTGAAGTCTCACATGCAGAAGCACTGCGCTCAGAGACTAGGACACTGGGGTTATTTCACTACTCCCTCACAGCTCCACCCCCTTCTCTTTAATGTCCCGCCCACCTCTCTACTTTGCCAGCCTCTCCTACAGCCTGGAGCGAAGGAGGTGCCAGGTAGGGGGACTCTTTGCTTGTTTGCCCAGAACAATAAAGTGTCTGAACTTGTTAGGAGCATGTGTAACGCTCCTTTGGCTGTCGCAGCTTCTCAGCTCCTTCTGGTGCTTGCTTGTGGCCGCATACCCTCAGTCAGCTGTGGACTGGTCAGGCTAATCCGCCTGGCTATACACCCCTCTCAGTCTGTGGGTTGGTTAGTGGCACTTTATGTAAGCATCACAAGCCCGGGTATCTGGGCTTATGATAGTACAGTCTGGTCCTGTCTGCACACGTCATTATCGTGCCATGTACATCCTGATCTTGTATTCTGCATCCTAGCCCTGTCTTGTATCTTGGATTTGTCTTGTAAACAGTTCCTGTCTTATATTTTGTATCCAGATTTCTGTTTATATCTTTTGTTTTGTCACCAGTCAGTACTACTCCCTTGTTCCTGGCGGCCGCCTGCGACATTTATAGCCAAAGTGTATAGTTTAAAGGAGAACTATGGGGTTAGGGCTTTTCCCCATAGTTCTCCTTAGGGTAACGGTACTAAGTTACATAGTATTTGAGGTTGAATAAAGACACAGGTCCATCAAGTTCAACGTGTGCGTGTGTGCGTCCTGGGGGCATTTAAGTACCCGTAGGCACACTGGCCTTAAGGGAAAGGCGGCTGCGAGAGGTAAAACAACTCCCCACTATAGACTCTGACTATAGTGTCTGCATCTGGCCTGACAGAACTTTCCAGGAGTGCAGCCGGCTTTTTCTCCTATGTGGCCTCGCCAGGGTTTAGAACCAGAACCCGGGTCTTTGGGCCAGGTACCCAGCCTACGGCTCGGGAGAAGCGCCCTCTGCAGTTTTCACTTAGCATTACAGCCAGACAGCTAGCAATATCTAAAAGGAGAGGAATGGCAGCTCCTATATTCCCTGTATTTATTTATTACAGGTATTTATAGAGCGCCGACAATTTGACGCTGCGCTTCACATAGTTGCACATTCACATCAGTCGCCGCCCTCAAGGCGCTTGCAATCTAAAGTCCCTATCACATATGCATACATAGAGGGATAATTTCGAGAGGAGCCAACTAACCTTCCGGCATGTCTTTGGAGTGTGGGAGGAAACCAGAGTACCCTGAAGAAACCTAACCAAGCAAACTCCTTGCAGATAGTGGCCTGGCTGGGGATTCGGACCAGGGACCCCCAGTGCTACAAAACAGAAGTGCTAACCACTACGCAGTACAGGACTCTCCTGTCCATCAACAATCAAGAAATGGAAACAAAGCACACAACTTACTGGTAATGAATGATTGCCCCGTTCGGTCCGCTGCTGGAGATGGTGGTAAAGCTGAGCTCAACAAAGTCGTGTTGTTGGCTAAAACACAAAAAGAAAAGCAGCGTAACGTTCTTCTCTCCGAGTGATAACAATATAGATGTACAAAAAAAACACATATAATTAAGAAAAATGCAAAAAGAAAATTAAAAAGATTATATTTCCAACTGTGTCATAAGTCTGCAAATCTTAAACAATTTAAAGCGACACCCCGCCTTTATTCAGCACTCAAAAATCATCTCCAGGACCATCGTGTACACTGGAGGGATTATAGAAACCTCACGATAGATTGTGTTCTGTAGACACTGAGACAAGCCAACCCAGTGACATCCTTAAAAAGTGTATATAAATCGCAACAAAGAATGTCTCAACTTTGCTCCCTTTTGGACTGTTAAATATGCCATGGAAAGCGTTTTGTTATATCTCATTTCTTATCCAGGTATGTGCAAAGAATACTGACCGTATTTTGCGCTCCATAGGGCGCAACGGTACATAGGACGCAGGCAGTTTCTGTCACGGTTTCTGTGACGGAAGCTGTGACAGAAGCTGCAGTAAGTGACAGCTGAGATAGTTGGCGCTGTGATTACAGCGACACGGTCTCAATGATTAGGGGCTCTATGGTGAGCTCCTATCACATGGCTACGGGTCCCCCAGAGGAGCGTGGGACTAGGGTTGCCACCTTTTCTTCCAGACAAACCCGAACACTCTAGTGACGCACGGAAATTTTGGGGAGGAGAATGAGTCGTGGCTTATTCATATGTAAATAGCTCTGCCCATTCATATGTAAATATCACAGTTGAGACTATTTTCAGTGGGGGGCCAGTAGTCCCTATCTTAATTTTGGTTGCCCCGGTCTGCCTGACATCTTGTGTCCGGGTTTCAGCGGCCATGAAACCCAGACACAGCATTCAAAACCCGGACTGTCCGGGTGAATCCTGGACAGGTGGCAACCCTACGTGGGACCCCGAAAACCACAGCGGGGGTGGCCGCCGCCGCTTGGTTTTAAAACAAGTGATCTGAATAGATCCCTTCAGCAGAGCGAGTGTTGTCCCCCCAGGAAAGGAAATGTGTTACTGGCAAAATCATCAGGTGGGAAAAAAGAAAAGTGCTGCAGCCGCCACATCTCAGAACAGCTGACTGACAGTATATTGCATTTGTGTTGTTGGGTTTAGATAAGCTTTATACCGCCTACACAATCTCACTATCAGTCCCAGTGTTGTAAGGACCGCAGCACTCCCGTAAAAGTGTGGCCCAATCACCCCAATAGACAAAATGCTCATTGCAGTAATCCTAGCTGGGGATGTCTAGAATGTTACCTAAAGGGACCCTGTCACCAGACCATATAGTTCAACAACAACCTTCCCATAAGATACAGTATATGTGCATTGAAAGTATTTCTTACACGTTACATAGCTGTGAAAGCCTCCTGGAATAGTCCATTTTTTTTAAGCAACTTCAGAGGCACATTGCACGTTAGTACTAATGTATGGAAATGGAAAACGCTGCAAGTAAGCATTTCAAATACTTGATTTTTCTGTGCTTTTACCTGCAATGGCACTGCATTGCGCCAGAGGTCAGTGCAGCACACCGCGCTATTGTGTGTAGACCTGAATGGAGTGAACACTTTGTACACTATCAATAAAGTTATAAAAAAAAGTAAACAGCGCCTTGCGATGTAACAATGTTACCACTGCACACCGCTGCCACCCAGTGGACACGGGTGGAATGGGTGGACCAGCCCTAAGAAGATATGTAGTTGTAATCTGAGTGCCGAGTGGGAGATGGTTTCAGATGGTCTTTGTGTGATTTTTACCTTCGAAATTCTTCTGCTTTATCCGCAGCGCTTATCTCTGTAATGTTGTCACTGTGGATCTGTAACAGGAAACAGACAACATTGCTGCAAATATTTATATGGTACAAGGAGACGTTTTATTCATTACGAAGGACAACGGCGGTTTGTGGACTTCACCGTAATCTTACCTCTCTCTCCAGCCAGCAGAACAGTTCACTGAGGGCCACGGCGTCCTTTATCTAAACACACACACACAATGTGAAATCTTAATGAGGCACAAAAATAACAAATAAAACTACAGAGCCAAAAGAAACCCAAACAGAGAGGGAAAGAGACTCTGCTCTGGTAGATACGCGGTAGAGCTGGACCAATAAGAATGGGAATTGGTTCTGGTGTAAATGCAAAAGACAGGGCGCTCGCCTTGGAGGGGGTGAAACTCTGAGACGAGTGTGGTGTGCGTGGACGGGGAGCTCGCATGGAGGGGGTGAACCCCTGAGACGAGTGTGGTGTGCGTGGACGGGGAGCTCGCATGGAGGGGGTGAACCCCTGAGACGAGTGTGGTGTGCGTGGACGGGGAGCTCGCTTGGAGGGGGTGAACCCCTGAGACGAGTGTGGTGTGCGTGGACGGGGAGCTCGCATGGAGGGGGTGAACCCCTGAGACGAGTGTGGTGTGCGTGGACGGGGAGCTCGCTTGGAGGGGGTGAACCCCTGAGACGAGTGTGGTGTGCGTGGACGGGGAGCTCGCTTGGAGGGGGTGAACCCCTGAGACGAGTGTGGTGTGCGTGGACGGGGAGCTCGCTTGGAGGGGGTGAACCCCTGAGACGAGTGTGGTGTGCGTGGACGGGGAGCTCGCTTGGAGGGGGTGAACCCCTGAGACGAGTGTGGTGTGCGTGGACGGGGAGCTCGCTTGGAGGGGGTGAACCCCTGAGACGAGTGTGGTGTGCGTGGACGGGGAGCTCGCTTGGAGGGGGTGAACCCCTGAGACGAGTGTGGTGTGCGTGGACGGGGAGCTCGCTTGGAGGGGGTGAACCCCTGAGACGAGTGTGGTGTGCGTGGACGGGGAGCTCGCTTGGAGGGGGTGAACCCCTGAGACGAGTGTGGTGTGCGTGGACGGGGAGCTCGCTTGGAGGGGGTGAACCCCTGAGACGAGTGTGGTGTGCGTGGACGGGGAGCTCGCTTGGAGGGGGTGAACCCCTGAGACGAGTGTGGTGTGCGTGGACGGGGAGCTCGCTTGGAGGGGGTGAACCCCTGAGACGAGTGTGGTGTGCGTGGACGGGGAGCTCGCTTGGAGGGGGTGAACCCCTGAGACGAGTGTGGTGTGCGTGGACGGGGAGCTCGCTTGGAGGGGGTGAACCCCTGAGACGAGTGTGGTGTGCGTGGACGGGGAGCTCGCTTGGAGGGGGTGAACCCCTGAGACGAGTGTGGTGTGCGTGGACGGGGAGCTCGCTTGGAGGGGGTGAACCCCTGAGACGATCAGCAGAGCGAGTGTTGTCCCCCCAGGAAAGGAAATGTGTTACTGGCAAAATCATCAGGTGGGAAAAAAGAAAAGTGCTGCAGCCGCCACATCTCAGAACAGCTGACTGACAGTATATTGCATTTGTGTTGTTGGGTTTAGATAAGCTTTATACCGCCTACACAATCTCACTATCAGTCCCAGTGTTGTAAGGACCGCAGCACTCCCGTAAAAGTGTGGCCCAATCACCCCAATAGACAAAATGCTCATTGCAGTAATCCTAGCTGGGGATGTCTAGAATGTTACCTAAAGGGACCCTGTCACCAGACCATATAGTTCAACAACAACCTTCCCATAAGATACAGTATATGTGCATTGAAAGTATTTCTTACACGTTACATAGCTGTGAAAGCCTCCTGGAATAGTCCATTTTTTTTAAGCAACTTCAGAGGCACATTGCACGTTAGTACTAATGTATGGAAATGGAAAACGCTGCAAGTAAGCATTTCAAATACTTGATTTTTCTGTGCTTTTACCTGCAATGGCACTGCATTGCGCCAGAGGTCAGTGCAGCACACCGCGCTATTGTGTGTAGACCTGAATGGAGTGAACACTTTGTACACTATCAATAAAGTTATAAAAAAAAGTAAACAGCGCCTTGCGATGTAACAATGTTACCACTGCACACCGCTGCCACCCAGTGGACACGGGTGGAATGGGTGGACCAGCCCTAAGAAGATATGTAGTTGTAATCTGAGTGCCGAGTGGGAGATGGTTTCAGATGGTCTTTGTGTGATTTTTACCTTCGAAATTCTTCTGCTTTATCCGCAGCGCTTATCTCTGTAATGTTGTCACTGTGGATCTGTAACAGGAAACAGACAACATTGCTGCAAATATTTATATGGTACAAGGAGACGTTTTATTCATTACGAAGGACAACGGCGGTTTGTGGACTTCACCGTAATCTTACCTCTCTCTCCAGCCAGCAGAACAGTTCACTGAGGGCCACGGCGTCCTTTATCTAAACACACACACACAATGTGAAATCTTAATGAGGCACAAAAATAACAAATAAAACTACAGAGCCAAAAGAAACCCAAACAGAGAGGGAAAGAGACTCTGCTCTGGTAGATACGCGGTAGAGCTGGACCAATAAGAATGGGAATTGGTTCTGGTGTAAATGCAAAAGACAGGGCGCTCGCCTTGGAGGGGGTGAAACTCTGAGACGAGTGTGGTGTGCGTGGACGGGGAGCTCGCATGGAGGGGGTGAACCCCTGAGACGAGTGTGGTGTGCGTGGACGGGGAGCTCGCTTGGAGGGGGTGAACCCCTGAGACGAGTGTGGTGTGCGTGGACGGGGAGCTCGCTTGGAGGGGGTGAACCCCTGAGACGAGTGTGGTGTGCGTGGACGGGGAGCTCGCTTGGAGGGGGTGAACCCCTGAGACGAGTGTGGTGTGCGTGGACGGGGAGCTCGCTTGGAGGGGGTGAACCCCTGAGACGAGTGTGGTGTGCGTGGACGGGGAGCTCGCTTGGAGGGGGTGAACCCCTGAGACGAGTGTGGTGTGCGTGGACGGGGAGCTCGCTTGGAGGGGGTGAACCCCTGAGACGAGTGTGGTGTGCGTGGACGGGGAGCTCGCTTGGAGGGGGTGAAACCCTGAGACGAGTGTGGTGTGCGTGGACGGGGAGCTCGCCTTGGAGGGGGCGGTTGACAGTTTTATGGTGACTACCTGTCGCGTCAGATCTGGACTTTCACCGCTCCTAGTTTTTTTCCCACCCAACATTCACCAAAAGACTTACGTGAGCTCGTCGCATTCCTTCAATCTCCATAGCGTTTTTCACTGACTTTGCCAGACATATGGGCGTGTACTGCGACAGGTACCTCTGAGTCTGAGTAATGATCGAAAACATTACAACAAAATGGTACAGAATTAGTATACAACGGAGAGGTTATAGATGAGGGACGATGGCACACACATGTGACCTTGTGGTATAAAGCGAATACCTTGGGAATAGCCTCGGAGAGCGCGTAGCTGGCCTTGTCACTAATCCACACCTTCTCCTTAGGGGAAAGTCCAGCACAGACACCCTGCAGAGCGCTCAGTATGGACCCGTATGGCTCCAGCTGGATCCTGAACTCAGTGGCCGGAGACGAGTCCAGCAGTAAGTGCGCCCTGACCGCCGGGTCCGCCAGACGCTCACCATCAATGAAAAGCCTGTGAGAAAAAGAACCACATGGAACATGAATTGGCATTGCTGGAAGAATGGTCAACGCAGTTGAGGAGGAAGGAGGTCCTGATTCCTCTATATAGATCTTTATTATCACTAGAGGGATCCCCAGCAGAAGGAAGGAGGTTCTGATCCCTCTATATAGATCTTTATTATCACTAGAGGGGTCTCCATTAGGAGGAAGGAGGTCCTGATTCCTCTATATAGATCTTTATTATCACTAGAGGGATCCCCAGCAGGAGGAAGGAGGTCCTGATTCCCCTATATAGATCTTTATTATCACTAGAGGGATCCCCAGCAGGAGGAAGGAGGTCCTGATTCCCCTTGTAACTTCTACAGTTACTAAAAGATAACCCCAAAAACCAGAGCTATGCAGTACAAAGGAATATTTCAGGGACCATACAGATTTTTATAGTGGGTGTAAAAAGTAAAACTTGTTACAAAGTAACAGAAAAACGAAAGCTCGGCCTCACCTGATGGATTCCATTCCTACGATGGCGTATGAGAAGAATACGGGGTTATACGCCACATCCGAGCCTCTGAGATTAAACAGCCCTAATCAGAGACAAATGATGCTGTACCCCACATTTACCACTGTAATGGGCATTTTACTCACTGACCACCAATGTAACCGGGCATTCTTTCCACTGACCACCACCTCTCTGACTGACCACCAATGGTCACCAATATGGCCCATGTACCATGGAGCTGTAGATATGACTTTTAGCAGAGGTTCCCTGAGACCTCAATATTATTTTAGGTAGGGATCCACCCATACTGATACTGGTATCGGTATTGGTGCAGATACCGAGTATTTGGGCGAGTATGAGAATGCTCCCGATGCCTAGACCGATACTGGAACTTCCGGGTGGTGAGTCATTACACACTGCCCGGCTTCCCGATTGGCCGGGAAGCCAGCTCCATGCTACCTTGTCACCAGGGAGCATGATGCCAGCTTTCTGGCCAATCAGGAAACCGTGGGGGCGTGTAATGATTCGCCGCCCCGCTTCCTGATCGGTCAGGAAGCTGGCCAATGAGTAAGCCAGGCGGCAAGACATTACACGCCACCACAGTTTCCTGATTGGCCCGAAAGCCGGCTCCATGCTCCCCCATCACTTGGTGACGATGGAGACGGCTTCCCTGCTTATCGCGGAAACAGGTAGCAAGTCTTCAAAAAGCCGCGCGGCTTCCTTCATGGAACTTCCGGTATCGGCGAGTACCAAAAAAATAAAAATATGGGTACTCGGTACCAAAAAAACGGTATCGGTGCATCCCTAGTTTTTAAGTTGAGAAAGGCCGCCACTTTCCGCCACTTGACCTTTGATCTCTATTTTGCACCAATGTCAGGCAGCAGCTTCCAACAGCGGAGACGGCACGGCTGGAAGATCCGGGACACCAATCTCGAATGTATTCCCAGTACGGCCCCAACACATGAGTCAGACAAACGTCTCTTACATGCAACCTCGTCCAGTGCCGTCAGAACGATCCATGAAGTTTTTCGCTCCGCCATCTTGGCCCGCAGTGCCGCAATCTTCTCTTGCCAGGATACGCCTGTAACAACGACAAGACAACACTTATTACAAGAACTGTTTTTCAGGGGCGTCCCGAGGCTGGGTGACAGCCGGAGCGGTAACCGAGTGTCATCCCCGCAGAGACGATGACGTCATCGCGCACGCGCGTCAGGATTCTGATACCTGCCGGCGGCCATCTTGGTGATAAGGGATAAGGTATGCCACCGGGTCCCCTCCTCTCTCCTGATACTGTCTGGCGTTCGGTCCATGACCGAGCGCCCGACTTTTCAGAGGGGGGTGACACCAAAATGACTGTGAGTCATTTTGCGGTCACCGGCCCAATGGTGTCACCCGGGTGCGGGCCGCACCCCCCGCACCGCCCTTGTGATGCCACTGTTGTTTTTTTCTGTGTGCGAGGGATAGCAAGGAGGGCTTCCCGGCATCACCAGCGGGCGTGTTTCACGATCATCAGATCACCGATAAGAAGAGTCCTACCTCAACGTTCCTGCTATCCCCGTAATGATCCAGCAAGCTCTGTGTGCCCTGCGGAAACTGGTTTTACTTTGTTACCAAGGGTTTGTGTTCCCTGACTCTGCTCACCTGCCCAGTGAAAAGGAGACACTAGATACACATTTTTAGGGTGGGGGGTGGGAGGGTAAGTCAAATGATCACAATAGCTCCAGTCTGGCAGCTCCCCACAAAACGGGGGCAACCCTTGGGGAGGGGGAGGGATAACCCAGAGATGAGAATTCACATGTATACTAATACAAACATCCGAGAGTCCAAATAGAACTAGTTCACAGCCAGGAAACACAAAACCACCGACACGTTTCAGGGGTCCTATGTTCCCTTCTTCGGGGCTCTGGTTTGCAAGTGGTGGTATAATCTACGGGGACGATTGTGGCGCGGCACTCCTGTTTATGCCACATGGACTTAAAGGAGTTGTAAAGTCCCGGCATCTCCTCTCCTGTTATGACATCAGCATTGTGATAGGATTACATACTGGAGTTGTATCTGAACTGAAATCTCAAACAATCTTAATAGCATTAGGCCCAGTGGTCTGGAATGGGAATAGTGGAAGCAGGGGCACGGACCTGTGTAGTTCAGACCCAGCGTTATCAGCGGCTGGCACGGCCTTGCCGGGCGCTCTGTCCAGATGGCGTCTATGAGGTTCTCCTGCACCGGTAGGAGGAGGTGCCCGGCGTTCTTCAAGGCCAGAGACATACTCTTCCACTGGTCTGAGGAAAGGAAACAAACGTTCTCAATGATGAACCAGCCGCATTCATTCCCATTAACATTCAGGAAGCTCCGCCCACATCCCGTATTAGAGGACACAACACTGAAGAACATCGGAAACCCACAAATGTTCCCGTCAAAGCTTTTCCAAAAGTCTCTCCTCTCTTTTATTGGCTGAGGACTGTGTATGCAATCCTTGCCCTGAGTTCCCGGGTTTGTTCACCTCCTGTGCCCATTATGAGGGTCTCCCACCATCCCTGTGCTGA